TCCTTGAAAAGCCCAGTGTGTGCAAGCTGGAGTCTGTTCTTTATTCAGTGAGGCCTCTGAAGTTGGGTCCTGCGTACGTAGGTAAGGCTGTCTGCTGGCTGACGAGTTTGTCCATGATGGCAAGCTCCGCGTCTCTCTTCTCCACCTCGTCGAAGGGGGTCCACGACATGTCGTGTTGAAGTTTGAATGCACCAAGAAATGGGTGAGGGGAGCTTGGACCCCATTCCTGTGGAGGAGAGGAGAGGACTGTCATAATAAATAGAAAATGTTTTGAGATCAAAAATCCACCATGAAGGAAACTCTCTTCATTGTCCTTTAGTTTGCTAACGTTCAGCACTTCAAAGTCTGCAATAACAACAGCTTTTCTTTATGTTTGTAAAACGATTTCACGTAAATACAAACTGCAGTCCAGTGAGGTGAAGTAACAGAAAAGCTCTGATTCTGTCAGATTCACTTTATTTTTTTAGTCCTGTTGTCATTTATTAGCCACGTGCTGCTTTACACATAATGATTTCTAGTTTCAGGTTACAGTTTATTGGTGTAACGCTGGTATCAGATCAGTATTTGGTACGGGCAGAAACCAGGAGCTAAGGAATCGAATAAGAAAGAAAAAGAGTAGCATTGGTGGTATCTCTAATTCACAAACAAACAAAAAACGTAGGAGTTTTATCCAAATTGGATAAAACTCTAAAAAGCTTATCCTGCTACATTTTTTTAACAAATGTTTTACATTTACAATTGAAAAAGTTAATCTTCTTAAAACCAGTTTGTGCTTCCAAAACCATCCACAGCTGCAGCGTAACCAGCCACATCCAACCTGAGCAACCTGATCATCTGATTTATCAGCTCCCTTCTGGCTGCACGACCTTTGAACACTAACACACAGACGTGCAGCGTCACGTTGAGTATTCACGTGCGTGATGTAACAGCTGCTGTACTGGAGTTTTGTAACTGCTGTCAGTCTGGGCTGACATAACATGAACAAGGCTGGTGCCTACCATAGGAGAGAGGATGGAGAAGTATTTCTGTCCCGATGGCCTCTGATAGAGGTAGTAGATGGTGCCTGGCTTTTTCACAATGTTACAGGCAGCGTGGTGCAGTTCAGAGTCTCTTTTGGCTTCTTCCAAAGCCTAGCAGAGAAGCAAAGATGTTGCCTTTAGATCAGGGCAACGTGACCATGCAGCTCATCCAGCGTGCACGGCTCTTACCTTCCTCGCCTGCTCCTGCAGGTATCTGATCTGGTCTGCAATGACTGTCAGTTTGTTGCAGGCATTGGCTTTTACAAACTCATCTCCCTGGGGGGAAACACATATTCATATATAACACATATTCATTATGAGAATAACCTGAAAGTAAAAAAATAACAAAAACTGAGTCCAATCCACACCTTCTGGACTTGCTCTGCAAGAGCAACCAGATTCATGGGGTCTCCAACTCTGTTGGTCTGGTAGGAACTAACCAGTTCCAGCCCACTGGGAGCACTGCTGCTCTCAACCAGAGTCACTGCAAAAAA